CAGGCAGCACTGAGACATGGAGGAAATTCAGACAAAAAATGGCTCACCCTGATAGGGAAGGAATGACTATATTTTAAATTAAACTTGCTTTTTCCAACACTGTGAGATTTCTGTAATATTTAGCTTTTATTTGGAAGCGATAGCGTATGGCATTTTTTATGCTGTTTGGTTTATATTGTCTATTGCAGGCTTCTTTGTATAAGCTTTGCCTGGGCTCACCCTCTCCTGGACACTGTTTTAAAGTGTCACCGCTGTCCATGCTGCCAGAGGCTCTGATGTGAAGCTGTACTCTCAAGATCCAAGTTTTTAAGTCGGCATGATTAGTAATGACTTTTTGTGGCAATAGAAAAGCCCATTAACTCAAAAAAAACAAGGAGAGTAAAAAGGGAAGGAAACTATGAATCGTGCCTCATCTTTCATTGAATCCTATATTTATTATTCTAGAAAAAGAGAACTTACAAGATAGAGAAGAACTAATAGAGCATCTACTTTACCCCTCAGGCTGTCCAGTGGGGATAATTACTAATAAACATTTAATGAAAAATTCACAGATCTTCCAATTTAATTTTTAAAAATAGTTTTATACCAAATATTATAAGGATTTATTAAGCAGATTAAGGACTTCATGAAATAAGTGCTTAGGTGAGCACGCATATATCAAAGTAATAAAAGAAACTAACATCAGAGTCTCCACTGAGCTACACATTTGTGAAAGGTGCCCACTGCAGTTACAGACACCTCAGGTACCCAGAGGCAGCAGCACTAGACACTTAAGAAGTTGGTATTTAAGGAGATTTTTTATTAAAGAGTTCCCTGCTGCATAAGCCAATGGCTATTGTGAGTGAATTGTCCCTTTGCCTTTAATTTATTTACATATTGGGTATAGATAAATGTCTCAGTTGCATCTTAAATTGAATCATTCTAAAGAGAGGAAAATAAGAACCAGGTAAAAGCTGACTAGATGCTGCCAAATCAAACCCAAGGTCTCCTAACTGAACCTTAATGGGCCTGCTTCTCTCCCAGGACAAGTAGTTAAGAGTCTCGTTCCAGGAACCCTTTGTAGTTAGTTGGCTGGCATGTTTACTTGCTGCTGTAGCCAGCCAAGATGAGTGCACCTAGGCCCTCAAAAAGGATTTTTTTTTTTACCTCAATCTAGCCTAACTCTCATATCTGTGGTTGCCTCTGAGATGAACATCCATGCTAGTATAAAAATAGTTAGGAATGCCCTTGGCAGCCAGGAACTGAAGCTGTTATTAAATGGTAGTCAGAGCTCTTGCCAGCTTTGATCCAGCCCCTCAGTCTTGGAGTTATGGGGCAGGGTTGGGGGGCAGTGCTACACTGTAAAGAATTTCCAGGCTGGGCGCGGTGGCTCACGCCTGTAATCCCAGCACTTTGGGAGGCCGAGGCGGGCGGATCACAAGGTCAGGAGATTGAGATTGAGATCATCCTGGCCAACATGGTGAAACTCCATCTCTACTAAAAATACAAAAATTAGCTGGGCGTGGTGGCACGTGCCTGTAGTCCCAGCTACTCGGGAGGCTGAGGCAGGAGAATCGCTTGAACCCAGGAGGCAGAGGTTGCAGTGAGCCGAGTTTGTGCACTCCAGCCTGGGCAACAGAGTGAGACTCCGTCTCAAAAAAAAAAAAAAAAAAAAAAATTTCAGACGTCTCTTAAAATGTCATGAATAAAATTGGAAACTGTAGAAGTGTTATGTGTCCTATGGACTCAATAGCAGAGTTTATTTTTGTCTTTAATGGCAAGGCTTCTAGAGTCAATGATTGTATGAGTTTGCTACTCTGGCTGTGCTTACAGCTCCATCCAAGTACAAGGGAAGAACCAATGAGGTGGATTGGCTGGCAGTGGGGCATGCCCCAGCATAAGCCCTAGAGAGGTTGACAGTAGTGCAGAATGAAAACTTGGTTGGGGATGGCGGGTGGTGGGAGGAGGGTGGGCAGGCCGGGAGGGAGAAATGGAGTTTGTTTTACTTACTGACAAAGCTTTGTGAACTAATTTTATACAATTCATAAAATTTGGTGCCTTGTACTCAATTATGGTTTGCATGGAATTGAAAAGATTAAGGGAAAGGATTTCTTGTCATTTCAAGTGGCAAATGGGTCTGTGTAGTGTTTAAAGGACATCTGGTATCACAGACTTTTAAAAAGCATTTCATGTCTCTTGTGTGTGAATGCAAATTATTCTTACCAGCAAGTTCTAAAATTATATTACAATGTCCAAATTCTTTGTATTTGTGACTGTTTATCAAATGGCTGTTTTTCAAGCAGACTATGTACTCCATTTGTTTTTCACTTCCCTTGTCACGTTCCATACATTAACTTGGGCCTTTTAAAATCAGGCTGGGGGGCTACCCCTTCTTAAATGTATACTATATCCCTATCTGAGGTTACATCTTGTGAGTGGAAGGGATGCTTTCCCAGGTGGTTGGGAGAGCACAAATGTTCAGAAAAGGCCTTTTAGTCTTTATCAAAACAATGACTAATGCTGGGCAACATATAGCAGAAGTCAAACAAAAATGATTCCTCCTGAAGTGGTACCTTCATTGGTTCTGATGTTCTTTTGCAAAAAATGTCCGGGAGCAGTATAGAAAACCTCTGTATGTGAACCACAGATTGTAAGGCAAGCCAGTGCACTGTGTAATATGCAAAGGGAGTGGTGCAAAAGAGAAGGCACCCATCCTAGCTCTCCATGCCCTTCCCCCCTCCGGCAGGCACTGACTGAGATGGTGCTGAGTGGCTGTGGAAGGTGCTAAGACCCAGTCTTTTCACTGCAGGGCTGTTTACAGCCAGTTTCTTTTACTCCGACCTTAAGGTTTCCACTGAGCTCCTGAAACTTCACCAAATGGTGTTTAAAAGTTTACCACTCAAATGCACACTTGAAAATTGGGTCCCTCAGCCTCATTACTGAACTAAATAAGTGAAGAGGTTGTATCTTTGGGGTAAAACTTTCCATGGCCATTTAATTTTTTAACTAGTTAAGTACGCATCTTCCTGGTGGTTCAGACTTTTTAAGTCAGCACTAAAGCTGAAAAGCGCCTTCTAAATATGACTGTGACTTGAGTTTGTATCTTACGTTTAATAACTGTTCTGTTGGGCCAAGACTATGACTTTAATTACTGTGTACTTATTCAACCCACACTCTGCACTAAATACACCATAGCTACTATAGCACTGTGACACTCATTTTTGTGGACTCATTCCATACTTCCGCTGGCATATTTCGTTTAAAATCTAGCTAGAGATTTTCATAGTACTGTGTTAACTAGCCAGGGCTGAAAAGTGTGACAGGATATAAAATTGACTTTCCTTGGGGAAAATGTTGTTTTGGCAGTAATGAAGGCCAATTCCTTCATTTACAGAATTAATGATTACTTATCAATTTTTGAAAGTTGTAGATTAAGTAGTTTTATTTACTAAATTCTTAACCACTTTGAATAATTAAGCCAGTTTAAGTGAAACATTGGCTGGACACGGTGGCTAGCACCTGTAATCCCAGCACTTTGGGAGGCCAAGGTGGGAGGATTGCTTGAGGCCAGGAGCTCAAGACCAGCCTGGGAAACACAGACTTGATATCTTTTCAAAAATGTATAAAAATTTAAAAATAAATAAATGAATCCTTACTCAACCATCATTATGGCTTTAAAACCCAACCAACAGTAAACACTTACTTGAAGCCAAAACAGTAAATTTTGAATAAAATTTGAATTATGCTTTTGGAAGCTGCCATGTCTTAATTCTTGCTGGATTTTGATTTTCAATTTTGGAAGTTTTTATCAAATAAAACTGTTCAGTCATGAGTATATCAGGTAGCAGCCTTTAAGGATCTAAGTTTCATTCCTATAAAAAACAGGAGGTGCTGGTATTTCTTGTCTTAGCAAGTGGTCTGATACGGGTCTTAAATGGGGGTTAGCATCTATACTATGGCTTAAAAGTTTCCTCCTTGGTCACCATTTGGGAGGTGATGGCTTCTAAGCTAAGCTTTGCTCTCATGTGATCCTTCTTCATCTTAATACCCAGTAAAATATAAACCTCTCAGAGTCTACCCAGTGTAGACTCAAGGGTCTTGGCTTCATCTATCAGATAAGATCTATCTGATTTATACAAAGAATGGTGCTGTTTTTATATACATACTAAAAAAATTTAATTCTCAAGCAATTTTCTTAATATTTACGCCAGCAAGGTCAGGAAAGACTATTTTGTCCTGTTTATCTTTAGTAGTTAACAAACTGCTAGAGACATCTGTCATTCTTAACAGGCCACTGTGGTCCATCTATACTGACCCTCCTTTCCAATTAATGTCCTTTAATCCCACACTAGTTTCATAGGAGACTTGGCACATAAAAGCAGTATTTTTTTTAATGTCTAGTAAACTGACCAGAAAAAAATAATTGCCATGGTGGACCCGTTTCTATCCACCCCTTTCTATGGCTATACAAGTTTATACATGCCAGTTCCGTATGTACTCCATTTCCAAAGAGCCCCCAAACCTTGGACAGTAGCACTGCCATCAATTTCAGGGTCACAAAACATCTCCTTCTGAAGGAAGCGGCTTCCTCAGCAGTGTCACTTTAGTGCCCACTGCCCAGGCTTACTTCACTTTACCTCCCCCTACACATCACTGCCCTCTTTGTGCCACCAAACCTCACTATTCCAGCAACAATGCCTCCCTGGTGCCTGGAAAACCCATCTGGTGCACTAAAATGCTATGCAACACCAAATGGCTTCTTCCCCTTATATTGCTCAACAATGTAAATTCTTCAAGAATAAACTTCATGCTATGTTGACATCAATGTATGGTTACAGCTTCCTTTTTTTTTTTTTTTCCTTCCTTTTAAAATGAAGCAAACCACCTCCATTAAAATCCATGTTTGGGGCTTGTTTTTGTCTCTCAAGTGTGAAATACAAATCATGTTTTTATGATTTTTGTAAATTTTTTTACACCTTGTTTTTGTAAGCAAAAGTTTCTTATTAAAAGAATAAAATGACTGCCTTTGTGTGCGGTATTTATTTCAAATGTTTGTTAAAACAGCACTGTTATTTCTCAGTACAAGAGCAAAGATCACCCCCTGCAGAAGCTTGGGAACTATGTACAGAACTTTATAGAACAGAGGCCATACTTTAGCTTAAGCCTGTCTGCTCACCAGAGAATGGAATTCTGCGTGGACTCAAGGAACAAAAGGAAACTAGGCAGGGAGAGGGAAGAAAAGTGCCCATCTGAATCAAACTTCAGCTGCCATCAGGGCACATCTTGTGGTGGTCACAGATTGTAGGCTGTTTTTTGGAAGATTCGGGTTCAGCACAGGATTCCATTTGTCTGCAATCGGATAAGACAACAGGTGGCATTAGAACTGGAAAAGTATGGGAGGGAAACTGGTAAGAGATACTTAAATCCCTTGCAACATCTGAAAACACATTTAACTAGGAATAGTTAAGGGTTTTACATCACATTCTTTTGTACATTTCGTGAATAGTTGACAGAAAACATTGCTTCTCCCAGTCTCTAGGTCTCCTAAGACACGCAGGGGTGTGGTTCAGTGCTTACCTACTTGGCTACACCCCTGGCTGAGGTGCCATGAGGTCAATGTCACTCAAGTTCCTGGCCAGCCAAACTCCCGCAGCAAAGAGTCCCAAATTTAGTATCAAGTTCCTGGAAAAAAATGTGTTTTACTAACCCTGTGGTCACTGAATCTGTTGTACAGTTAACGAAATGTACTGGGGGAAAAAGCTTCCATCACCACCACCTTCCCGAGGCGTTAATACATGGTTGTGACATGGCAGGTTGCTCAAGACCCACGTGGGAATTTGGAGTTTAGTTTTGTGCCTAATAAATGTAAGATAAGTCTGGGTGAGGTGGCTCACGCCTGTAATCCCAGCACTTTGGGAGGCCGAGGCAGGCGGATCCCGAGGTCAGGAGTTCAAGACCAGCCTGGCCAACATGGTGAAACCCCGTCTCTACTAAAAATACAAAAATTAGCTGTCTGGTGGTGGCGCTTGTGGTTCCTGTAATCTCTCTCCCTTATGCAATCTGGGATGTGTCTTGATAGGCAATAATGGAGAAGTCTCCGTCACTGGCTGGCCGAGATGCCAGTGAGCTGAAGCGGCCATTATCCTCAGCCTCTCTTCTTTTTTCCTTCGGTGAATTGTAATGCTGGGACCTGTATAAAGTATAATATTAAGTCTAATATAATGTGGACAGACGGGCCGTAGCTCCAATGCCTAATTACTCCGTGATATGTGCCGGAGGTGCGTGTGTGTGATCCAAGGAAGTCAGGAGTTTGGAGACCAGCCGTGCCAAGATGGTGAAACCCCGGTCTCGCTTACTAAAAAACACAAAATTTAGCTGGGGCTGTGGTTTTGACCGCGTGCCTCTGTATCCCACTAGTCTGGGTGAGGCTGAGATGAACACTGAATTCCCTGAGAAGGCTGGAGGGACCAGGAGCCGAGAGTCGCTGTCCCTCGCACTTCAGCCTGTGTGCCAGAGCGAGACCCCGCCCAAAATAAAAAAAAAAAAGTGATAGTAACTGAAGATCCCCAAAGCCAGCGAACCCAGCCACCTCAGTCCACGGCCCAAAAAAAGCCTGTGTTACTTCCTGAGCACCTCTTCCCCGTTGATCAGGGTGACGGTACAGACTACAGCCACACGGAACGAAAGGATGCGCTTTTGCCACCACGGGAACTCTCCGCTCCGCTGGCCAAAGGACCGTCTTATTGCACGCGACAGGCAGAGCTACGAAGCGCGCACAATGTGGCCGCAATGTTAAAAACAAAATGACGCTGTCTCACGCTGTAAATGGCACACTTTGACCGCAGGCGCGATCACGAGTCAGGAGATCGACACCACTGCGAACACGGCTGAACAACCCGCGTCTCTACTAAAAAATACAAAAAAAAATTACCCGCGCGTGTGCGCCCGTGTGATCCCAGCTTCTAGAGCTAAGCAAAAATGGCTTAACTTAACCGATCACCGAAATCCCCCAATGCACTCCAGCCTAGGCGACAGAGCGAGACTCCGTCTCAAAAAAAACAAAAAAAACCCAAAAAAACAAAAACAAAAAACCCTGAGGCGCCAGCCTCGCGAGAAAGGGGAATACCGACGTAAGGGTCAGAGAAGGACCAAGTTCTTGGGCTCGGTTACCTCCGGAAGTCATTCCTATCTGTGGCAAAGCGGTAGACGCCCCGAAGCCAATCTCCCACGTTGTCCGGTATTTCCGGAGTTTCATTAGCCGAGCCAGCAGCACTCACCGGGACCCCGCTGGAAGCCATAGTAGGAACCTTCGCATGGGCCGCGGTGGAGGAACCGTATCAGCGTCGCGGGTGAATGACGCACCTCCGCTTTGGCACTTCCGGCTGCTACCAACCGGCAGGGGAGCGCTGTTCGCTTAGTCCGACATCCGGAAGAGGGACGGCCCCCTGCTGCGCGTCCACGAACTCTAGGAGGGGAGGAGCGCGGCCCGGCTCTACGGTCCCCTGCTCCCGGTCCCACCTCCGGCTCTCCAGCCGGTAACCGTCACGCGTGCTGTGATCATTTAATTGGCTCGGGAGGAGGATGGTGGGGACGGGGCTGTCCCAGCCTGTGGAGGTGGGGGTAGGGGCTATCTCCGCAGGGGAAGCGTAGCTTTGGGGAATGGGTTTTGCCAAGAAAGTCTCCACCAAAAGTCCTAACGCGCTGTGCTGAAGGGGGCGCGCTCCAAACTTGTCACCTCGCCGCCTCTCGCGGGCGTGCGCCTGACTGCGTCTCAGCCTAGGATTGTTAGGGGAGGCTAGCCTTGTTCTCCCGCTTTACAGACCCCTTTCCTCCCACTCACACCCTCTCTCTGAGCTGCGCCACTAGCACATGGTGCAGTGCTTCTTAGAGGCGTTGCTGTCCTCTGCTTGGAGGCTTCCGGGGATTTTCCAGGACAGGGGAAGGCGCTCGCCTAAGAAAAAGCCTTCAGGTTCCGAGTCAGAGGAGGAGGAGCAGGTGGAGAAAAGGGTGTCCTTGGAATCACAAAGAGTCTCCAAGCGGCACTGCTCCTGCCCTTTGGGTGCCTCCGCTTTTTCCCCAGGTCGGTTCTCCTGCTGGGGACTGGATCCAGGCAGCCCCGTCTGAGTTTGCAGGCTGGAACCGCCGGCAGCAGCGAGAAAGAGTGTTCGGGAGAGGGTCGCAGAGTTCACCGAGGTTTGGTCCCTTCCTCCAGTTCGGTCGGGTCCAGTCTCCCCTGTTCCAGGCCGGGTCGGAAACGCTAGTCTCAGAGATGCGGAGCTGGACCTCCACCGCAGCTAGCGGGGGTGAAGCCCAGCCTCTCGCCCCGCCCAGCCCAGCCCCTGGGCCGTGCGCGCCGCCGCCGCGAGTCCTCGCCAGGGTCCCCCGCCTCCACCAGAGGGCGGCCGCGTCCCGCGCCTGGGAGGGAGTCCGGCGCCGCAACCCCGACCGCGGCGCGGGGTGGGTTCGGGAGGCCCTCGGAACGCTCCGGCCAGGGACGCGCGGTGAGAGCTGCGGGCCCCGAGGCTCGGATCTGGGGGGTGCGGTGGGGGTGCTCCTGGAGGGACGGGACGGCGTGGGACCGGGGAGAGGGTCCCAGCCCGGGAGAACCCCCACAGCCCAGCCCAAGCTCCCTCCCGCTTTGCTCTGCATCCTCTCCCTTACCAAGGAATGCCTGCCCTTCCAGTGCCCCGGCCCAGCTCGAGCCTGCATCCGAGTAGCGGTTCTCGAAGCAGCTGGGGCAGCAGGGGCTTCCCCCAGGCAGGGCATAACGTCCCCCGCCCAGAGGCCCGGCGCAGTCCTGGCAACAGAAGTGGTTCTCATGCCAGCGCTGTCCCTCTGCCTCGGTGCAGCGCTGGGAGAAGATCAGCTGGGAGAGGGAGAGGGGAACGTTTCATTCATTCATTCATTCATTCATCCAGTAACCACGCCTTTTACCCAGTTAACGCTAAAGCACGTCTGCATACATTCCCATTTGATTCACTCAGCCACTCATGGACACAGGGAGGACTGATTGGCTTAGCCAGGATATCAGCTAGCAAGTGGCACAATCCGAAGTGCGACCTGGGGGTCTGGACTCCCAACCCAGGGCTCCAGGCTTCCTTTTATGCTGACATCAAGGGAATTTCTAGCATGATGAGGCACAGCACTGGGCACTTGGCATCTACTGAGATGAGCATGTGTCCAAGAGTCCCTGCTCTAGAGAAATTCTGTCATTCCAAGAACATCTGAGGATCTCTGCAGTGGGGGAGGCCACAGGCAGAAGGGCACCGGGTCCCACATGCCCAGAGCTCAAGTCAGAACACAGTGAACTTGCCCAGGCTGGTTCCTACTTCTCCCCACTCCCTGATACTGTGAGAAACTGTGGCCCAGGAGAGTGTTCCTTTGTATCCTGCCACTCTGGACCCTGGGCAGACCCCCAGTTCCTCCCCTCCAGGCTGTACCTGGTCACAAGCCGGGCAGCGCGGGCGCAGCAACTCTGCATGATGGCGGCCGCAGTAAAGTTGTCCATCATGGTAGAAGTAGATGAGGTTTATCAGGGCCTGGCCACAGGCCTGGCAGGCAAAGCAAGTCTGGTGCCAGCAACGCTGTTCCCCTGCCCGGGCTGCAAACACTCCGTACTCTCCTGGCTTCAGCAGCTCCCTACACTGTCAGAGGGGAGGTGCTGAGTTGGCCCGAGTAGGCACTACCGTCCTAACTTCCCTCCTTGCTCTTGCAATCTGATCCCAACCTGTTCTCATCATACCCTAGCAAGCCCACATCCACTGCAACCTACACCAAGAGCTCCCAAACTTGGTTTCTGTTTTTCCTGTTTCCCAACCAGAGTTCCAGAAGCTAGCCCTTTCTGCAGAAATGAGAGGGCAAAGAATAGAGGAAGGGAAACTTGAGGGGAGGGGTGCTACAGACCTTCTCACAGGTGTGTCCTTCAAGCTTGGGAAGCACCAGGCGAGCTACCCCCTGTCCCAGGGCCTCCTGCTTCCGCCTGGAACAGAAGAGCCGCAGCTCGGCCCGCTCCTCCTCCCCAAGGGCCAGGCAGTAGTGCTCCTGCAGAAACAGTCCTCTACAGTTACTGGGAGAGCTCCAGCAGGAAAGATTGAGCATTGGTTGGAGGAAGAAAGGCTTGGCTGCTGGGTCAGAGAAACGTTGTAGAACCTCAGGGAGATGCCAGAGATAATGGCATAGAAGGGGAAATCGAAGAAGAAGGAAAGGAGCTCAGGAAAGGCCACCTGAGTCTCCCCCTGCCCCCCTAGGAATGGTCATCAATCAGGTCCTGACAGGCCCACAGCACTCAGCCCTGTCACCATTAGGTCCTTGCTCCCAGTGAGCTAAGAGCTCAGTATCACTTCCAATTCTTGCATTTCCTCAAATTATTTCATATACTCCTGTCTTGCCTCCCCAATTGAATTGTAAGCCTTTAGGCTGGGCACATGTAGACCCTCAATAAATATGTAACAACCATACTCTCTACATTTGTACATTCCATTATCCGTTTCAAAAGTCGTTCATGTCCATTTTCTCATTTGCTCTTGAACTAAGCATTGTGGTGGGCAGAGCAGATGTTACTGCACCCGCTATTGTTACTGCCAACGTAAAAACTCAGGCAGGGGGAGAATGACACCCCAACCAGTGGCATAGCTGGGCCTTAAATCCACATCCCCTAACTTCTGGACTGAGGTTCTTCCCACAGTAAGAAAAGAGAGGGGCAGGGAGAGGCAAGAGAGGGAAGATGGGGAGAGAAGACCCACATCAATGTCCTGTGGAGGGAGTTGCTGCAGGAGGGTCCGAAGCCCAGTCCATTTGGGGGCTTGGTTGGTGTCCAGGCAAAGGGAACCCAAGCTCAGAACTGAAGGACCCTGAGGAGACATGGAAGAAGGGGAGGAGTGAAACTAGGTTTTTCTTTCTCCTTTCCCCCTAGTCATTGCCACCTCTTCTCCAATCTAGAGCAGCTTCTAAGCATGCCCTCCATTTGGGAGGGTCCTCCTTCCAGATCTTCACTGAGCGCAAGGATAGCTGACTGATGCCTGTATCTGTGGTCTTCCTTGAGGGAGGCTGGGGAGGCCCCACACCCCAAAACAGCTTCCCTTCTTATGCTTTCCCTTCTTAACCCCCTTCACGCCTTGGGGCCAAAGCCCCTAGAGTCTGCTTTGACAACACAGATTCCCTAGGAGAGGTAATGGATATTCATGTGAATGAGTTTAAAGTCAAAACCCTATGTTCTCAGCAGGTGCAGAGACAGGAATTCCTGAAAAGAGAGAAAGGCAGTAAGAGATTAGGCACGAAGTCAAACTACCTCCAGGTTAGTGGAAAAAAGTGGCCACTCAACAGGATACAGGATATGTTGGTCTCAGAGGAAGGGCACAACTCTACTACCTGAGCAGAGGTGTCCTCAGGGTCCTCCGCCGGCAGGTGGCCTGAGTCACTGTCTGAGTTGGCTGGCGGACCTGGATCCTGGGGCTTGGGGCTGTCCTCTTGGTGGGGCCAGCCAGAGTTCTGCACTGACATTAGTGGCAAAGGCTACCCCAAAACAATAAGAACACCTTCATGTATTAGGCCGTTACAATGTGCTAGGAAGTGTTAAGTGCTTTATAGGTATTATTTCCCTCAGTCCTCCCAACACCCAAATGACTTAGGTAGTATTATCCCCGTCTTACAGATGGCCCAACTGAGGATCAGGCCATGAGTAACATGCCTGAGGTCAAACAGCCAGTAAGTGGCAGAGCCAGGTCTTGAGGTCATGTCTTTTGGTCCAGAATTTCTGAAGTTCAAAATTCTGGGGTCTCCCAAGATTGGGATGGAGGTAAGCGGAGGCCCATGGTAGAAGGAGAGGGCACTTTGCCTTTCTGGTGGGCCTTTGGGCAGGCTGGCCCCTCTCTCCTTACCTCATCAGCCTTAACTTCCACCATTTCTCACCATGTACCCACAGCCCCAGTGAGCGTGCTTCTTCACAACTTCCTACATGGGTCCAGTTTTTCCAGCTACATAGGCTTGGGCCTCTGGTTAAAGGATCTCCTTACCAGGAAACCCTTCTCAGCCTCTGTGACCATACCAGCTCTCCCTTCCCTGAGCAACTGAAGCAAGCAGTGCCCCAAGATTCAGTGCCCCAAGATTTAGCACCTAATGTTTTTCTCTGCTCCCTGCATCTCTCTCAGCTCCTCATCTATAACTTCCTCGAGGACAGGAACACCTTGCACTTTTACATATAGCAGCAATTGCATTGGATAATCTAAGTTCATCTCTTCAGTTTTCCTCTCGGCAACTCCTGATATGACTACAATATCTTGGGGGTAAGAAGTGACTATTGGCACAGTGGTTCAGGCCAGTAATCCCAGAACTTTGGGAGGCTGAGGCAGGTGGATCACCTGAGGTCAGGAGATCGAGACCATCCTGGCCAACATGGGGAAACCCCGTCTCTACTAAAAATACAAAAATAAGTCAGGCATGGTGATGTGTGCCAGTAATCCCAGTTACTAGAGAGGCTGAGGCAGGGGAATCGCTCCAACCTACCTGGGAGGCAGAGGTTGCAGTGCAGTGCACTCCAGCCGGGGCGACAGAGTGAGACTCCATCTCAAAAAAAAAAAAAAACAAAAAAAAGTGACTATTAATGTAGAGAAGAGATGAGCCCTGCCCTCAAGGAGCTCATAGTGGGTAAGACAAAGATGAAACCAGGTAGAATGGGATCAGAGCTCTGGGCAGATACAAACCCTGGAGAAAAAAATAACCAGAGCAAACTTTTTAATAATATTTACTCTGTGCCAAGGACTCTTCTAGAATATTATATGATATAGTCCATCCTCACAATAATCTTACGAGGTAATTTCTTTTATTCCACTTGACAGTTGAAACAATTAACTTGCCCAAGATCATACCAGAGGCTAAGGGAAGCCTTAGGGGGATCTGGCTTCTGAGAGCTGGGATAGATTCTCAAAGTAGCTAGGCACAGGAGGGTCATCATCAAATCCCTGGCCTCTGTAAGACTGGGCCAGGGATTTGTATTGGGGTTGAGGTGAGGGTTTGGACCGTAACAGTTAATATTGCTTCCCAGCACTGAACCCTCCTCAGCACTGCCCCTCCACTCCCACTTCAAATGTCCTGTGCCACCCTTCCCTCCTTCCTGGCTTCACACCCACCTGCTTCCTTCCTCTCCTGTCCCTCAGGTCAGGCTTCCTGTGGAAGGTGGCCAGGATGGGCTGTTCACACCCGGAGTAGCCACTAACAGCACTGCCCCTGCTCCAGGCAGCAAGAAAGGAGGGAGCATCTGGGGCTCCAGGAGAATGACTTGCACCCTCTTCCATTTTAGCTCTAGTTTGCATGGAATTGTCCAACTCAGAAACAACGCTCAAAAATCAGGCCTCTACTCCTCACCCTTCCATCTCCCCAAAGGCAGCCAAACTCCACCTCCACCTAGCACTGGGACACCCTTACTAACAGACCAGCTGGATTCCCTCCATAATTCCCTTCCCCCTCCCACCTCAGATAAGGGACAGAGCTGAATCCCTTGTCTTGCCTCTGTGCAGGTGCAAGAGGGCTCAGGAGCTGGACATCCCCAACCCCCGCTTCCCTGAAGGGCAGAGCCCGAGAGGACTTAGGGCTTGGGGAGGTGGAGGGATGGGAAGATTTCTGGGGACAGTGGGAGGGAGAAGGAAGGGGAGTGCCTGGTCCCGCCAAGTGCCCTCTCGGTAGATCCCCAAAGCTTTTCTAGAACTTGGCGGGCCCGCCTCCGGGGCTGGGACGCGGTGTTTCCCGAGTCCGCTGGGCTTCCGGGTCTGGCTGCTGGGATTTTAGGGGAGTGGACCAGGACTTGGCTGGGGTCTCACCATCGCTGTGCGTCGCTGTCCGGGCAGTTCTGGACCGACTCTGCCGTCAGGCCCCTCACCCAGACCCCACCCGAAGGCGTCAGCGCCCGCCCCCGTCCGCCCCCGCCCGCCCTAACAGCGCGGCCCTTCCTCTCCCACGCCCTAGGGGTCCCCGCCCGCCCCTCCCCTGCTGGTGGAGAGGGGCGGCTCAGGGAGGAGCCTGGAGCTGCAGATTGGGGGCGGGGGGGAAAGCAAAACAAAACCACATTTGTGGGATCTCAGGGTGGAAATGTGCGGGCTCCACGGTCTCTGCCATGCAGGTGCAGGGGCTCAGGCTGGGACTGCGCCCGGCGGGCATCCAGTAGACGTCGGGAGCCGCGTTTACGCTGGGTTCTCAACCACTGGCTGAATGGAAACGACTCGCCGGGCGCGCAGCCCTGTCCCTCTGCAGTTCCCAGGTCTCCCCAAACTCTCCCTCTGGTCTCCCAGCCCCGCCCCTCCGCGTCTTTCCCTTCAGTTCTCTCCCCCTTGTCTCCAGTGGTCCCCCTGGCCCCTTCCTCTCCCCTCAGCCCTCTTCCGGGTTACATCGTCTTGCCCGTCTCCCTTCAGGTCCCTTCAGACCCTCTCCTCTTCCCTTCGTTTCTCGCCCAACCCTCCGTCCCCTTTTCGCTCGCTGCAGCACCCCCAACTTTGGTGTCCTCAGCCCCGCCTCTGCGCCCCGCCTCCGCCGCAGGCTCCGCCCTTCCCCCCCCCCGCCGGGCTTTCTCAGCCCCTGGCCAGGAGCGCCCTCTGGCGTCTGCGCATGCTCACTGCTCCCGACTGCAAAGTCCTCCAAAGGGACCTTCTAGGCTGCGTGCCGGTCGCCCCCGCTCGGGTCCGCCCGCCCGCCGCGTCTCGTTGGTGCTGCCGGTGACCTCCGACCCCGCGGCCGCGGGGCGGGGCGGGGAGGCCTTAGCTCTGGGCGGGCGGCGGCTGCTGCAGCGGGACCCGGGAGCGGGGCCCGGCGCCGCCCGGGCCGCGGGGCGATGTGAGTCGGGGCGCGGCGGGGCGGGGACGAGGCGGCTTCACCGAGGCCGCGTCGCGCCGCGCCGCAGTCTCCACTCCCTCCCTAGGAAGCCCCGGGCAGGCGGGCGGCGGAGCACCGGGGCTGGGGGCGGGGATCCGGGGAGAGCGCGCACGCAGACCTCTTCATTCCTTACGGGCGTCTAGAAATTCCCCTGACAGTCCTGCAGACTCTGGCTGCCCTAACCCACCTCTACCCTTTCCGCCCTGGACACACCATCGCATCTCCTGGAGCCCTCAGAACCCCCTCACTCGCTCAGCAAATCTGCTATGCGCACGGACCCAGCATTTCTCTTGGATGCCCCCAAATGCTTCCACTGCCCGGAAATTCCTAGGATCCCTCATATCCCTATTCTCCTTGCACTATCCAAAATGCCCACATCCAAAATTCTTGCTCATGTTTCCCCAAACGTCCTCATACGTTTTCAGCCCCCACACCCCATCTAACTCCTGCCCCTGATCATGCCTATCCGGGACCAGAGGCCTCTCCCCATTTCCACTCAATGCAGTCCTTCCTCAGTGAGCTATGTGGTACATCCTGATATCTTAAGGAGAAGAGATGGTGATAGGGAAGTGCAACCCCTCCCCCATTTTGCACCCTAGAGTTCTTGGTGCCCCCGCCCTCCCCCCACCCCGTCTGTGGCTCAAGCCCCAGTATTTTCCCAGCAACCTGTCTTTAGTCCTTGCACACCTCCCTGAGCCTGCTTCTTCCTTCCAGAAAATAAGCCAGACCAAGGAGATGGGGTCCTTTTACCTGGAAGTTGTCCAAGGTTGCAGGGTGCAAGGGGCCCTGGGAAGTATTGTTTCTCCAGAGCAGGAATGTGGAATGTCCAGGGGTCTGCAGGGTCCTGGCTTGTTGACGTGTTTACCTTGGGCTCAGAGGCCCTGAAATTTTGGCTTACTGTTAACATTTATGTTGAAATTAGACCTTTCAGAGCTTGGGGAGCAGAAAATCTATCAAGCTTCCAAATGCGAAATTGAAGCAGCCTGTCTTGGAAGAGGAACATGTCAATTTTAGTGATGTTTGTCTTACATTTTTGCCTTACAAGTTATTTAAGCTAGAAGCTCCCCAGTTTATAGATGGTTTCCCCAAAAACTAAGACCTTAGGTGGGAGTTGGGGGGTTGACTTAAGTCTCCCAGATACTTAGTAGCAACAAAACTGACCGGAATATTGGTTTCCTGAATCTTAAACCAGTGCTCTCTCTACTATATCACAGTGTCCTTTTGAGAAAGCTCTTTGTAGAGTTAAAGTTCTCTGCAAAGGTAAGGTGATGGTTTTGATGTTTGTTGTAACAGGACTCAGAGGGAGACCTAAAGTGACTTAAAAGGCCTTGGCCAGGCGTGGTGGCTCACACCTGTAATCCCAGCATTTTGGGAGGCTGTGGCGGGCGGATCACAAGGTCAGGAGATCACGACCATCCTGGCTAAGATAGGGAAACCCTGTCTCTACTAAAAAAAAAAACAAAAAAATTAGCCGGGCACAGTGGCGGACGCCTGTAGTCCCAGCTACTGGGGAGGCTGAGGCAGGAGACTGGCGTGAACCCAGGAGGCAGAGCTTGCAGTGAGCTGCGATCGCGCCACTGCACTTCAGCCTGGGTGACAGAGTGAGACTCCGTCTCAAAAAAAAAAAAAAAAAAAGGCTTTAGGTTGTCTTAGACTTCAAACTCATTGATGCTCCGGGAGTCTGTCCCTCTCAGGGCCCATGGGGCTTGGAATTTGTGCTCTTTTTGCCCTTGATTTTACTTTCTTCATTGGTGTTTTTGTCCCATTAGGGCTGAAACACATATCCAGGTGGGATGGACTGCCAGGTCAGTTTCATTAACAGTTGGGGGTGAAGATAGAAGGTTTTATTAATCAGTGTCTCTGTTTCCTATGCTAGGTGAGCCCCAGGTGTATCCCAGAGGGATCCAGGTGACTTCTCTGCAGACTGTTTGCCATGACAGCCCAGCAAGGACAGGGGGAATAAAGTGGGAACCCTTCCCCATGCCCTTCCCAATGGCCTGGGTGAGGTAAGAGCTGTGTATAGGAGTCAGTTTTATGGCGTTTCCCAAGTTGGGAGGAACAGAGGATACAGGTCACCTGGTTATTCAAAGCTTTACCATTCAGCAGGAGTTCTAGAAGGATAGCCAATCCTACAGACTCATTTCTTGTGACAAGTTGCAACCCCTTAAAACTTCTGCTTGGTATTGGTCCATGCGTTTCTTGTTCCCTTAGGTCATTCAGGCCTGGGTGGTGTCCTCTTCATTCTAGGCACAGCCCTGACTGTTATGACATATCATCCAAGTACCAGAATCCTGGAGGGAAGAGCCAAATAGTAACGCCTCTGGTCTCCCCTTCAGACAAAGGGAAGCAAACCCAGCATTTTTTGTGTGTGAAGAAATATCCAATTCAGGTTATTAAAATTGTGCACGGTTTTAAATGTTCAGTCTTCCGAATGTATCTTTTTGATCACAATGTAACAACTCATTTGAAGAGGATATCAGAAAGATAAATTTGCGCTGGATGTTGGGATGGTAGTAAGGGAGAAGAGAGAACTTGGATGAAGTGGAATGGATGAGCTAAAAAGGGAGGAAAAAAGAGACAGGTACAGGCCAAAGTGTCTGATACCCCCCAAGTGACAATTTCTTTGCTGAATCCAAATAAGGGCCTTGGGTTGGCACCCACCTCCATCTGCTGTAGATCACTTCTCCTGGGCCCCTACTTTTCTTCCTGCCTATGTCCTTCCCTTGTCATTACATGGGTCAGAATCCTACATACTTCTCAAGGTCCAGATCGAAGGTTACCTCTGAGAAGCTCTCTCCAGCCCCCCATCAGCATTCATCCTGAACATATTGTAACTTGAATTAAGGTTTATCAAATGTGTGTCTGGCCTGGATTGAGAATGTGAAGTCTTTGAGGGAGGGTCTGTATCACACAGTCTCTTAGACAGAGTAGGTGATCACAATGAGGTGCTTCTTCCTGAGTTCCCCAGAGCAGGGTTTTTTGAAGCTGAAGTTGGTGACCTGCATATCCTGTATGTTTTTCCTAGGGCAGGCTGGCTGCTCTGACACCATGGGGAGCTGCTGCAGCTGCCTGAACAGAGACAGCGTTCCGGACAACCACCCCACCAAGTTCAAGGTACCCAGAGCCCTCTCCTCTCCTGCGTTCCCAACATGGCCTCTTGGGCTCAGACACAACTTAATGGAGTTGTCTCCACTTCTCTAACAGCAAATCAAATGCCAGGCTGAGTTGTAGGCTTATGGAGACTTCTCGAGCTCACACCCTCTCAAGTAGCCTGAGGAAAAGAGGCCCAGACTACTGCTGTTTTCATGGCTCTTGATATTACCAAGAATGAAAAAATGCCATAATGATGCTTTTGGAACTGTTGTCAGTGTGTTTTTATACCTTTATATATCCCCCCCCTTTTGTTTTAGAGAAAACAAAATTCTGTATTTGTGAGTTAATATATGTAAAGTATTTAAAATAGTGCTTAGTGGCCAGGCACAGTGGCTCACGCCTGTAATCCCAGCACTTTTGGAGGCCAAGGCGGGCGGATCACCTGAGGATCAGGAGTTAGAGACCAGACTGGCCAACATGGCGAAACCCCATCTCTACTAAAAATACAAAAATTAGCCAGGTATGGTGGCACACGCCTGTAATCCCAGCTACTTGGGAGGCTGAGGCAGGAGAATCATTTGAACCCAGGAGTTGGAGGTTGCAGTGGGCCGAGATCCCACCAGTACACTTCAGCCTGGGTGACAGAGTGAGATGCCATCTCAAATAATAATAATAAATAAATAAATAAAATTAAATAGTGCTTAGCACACAGTAAGCACAACATCAGTGTTTGCTGTTTGCTGTGGGAAGCTGAGGGCAGACCCAAGTCCACCTGTGCGCTCCCCTGCCCCACCTCTCTGTAGAGGGAACCTCCTTCCTCCTCATTCTGGGGCATCTTGAAGCACATGTTTCCCCAGCCCACCAGAAGAGGGAGCCCTCAGCAAGGGCACACAGCTGGGGACGGGGTAGAGGAGATATGTATTGGTTCTGCCTTGGGCTTGACTTTCCGGGGTCAGGGTGTCCCAGTCTCAAGATTTTGAATTTACAATTGAACTCCTTCCCCATTAACACCTGGCCCTTGGATACTAAGCCATGGGCTGTCTGGGGTCATCTAACGTTTGTTATCTAACCGACTGACCTTGGAGGTCAACTACCTACTTCTTCCCTCACTGTCCGTAGGACAAAACTCAGCCCCAGAGAAGTGGGATTTGCCCAGTGAACTGCTGTGGGTCCATGAAACTGCTTTATATAGTTATGTAGCATTCAGTAGAGTCTGTGATAGTCAGATGTGACCTTTGGTTCTCCACCTCTTGTCCTGCATCAGATTGTCTCCCAGTGGCTCAGGGACCCATGCGAACACTTGTTGGACTCACTCGTTGACCCTTCTGTCCTCTCCCCTCCAGGTGACAAATGTGGATGACGAGGGGGTGGAGCTGGGCTCTGGGGTGATGGAGCTGACGCAGAGTGAGCTGGTGCTGCACCTGCATCGGCGTGAGGCCGTCCGCTGGTCCTACCTCTGCCTGCGGCGCTATGGCTATGACTCCAACCTCTTCTCCTTTGAGAGTGGCCGCCGATGTCAGACAGGTCAGGGTGAGTACCAGGCCCTGCTCCACCGTGGGATAGGGGCTTATGCAGGACTCTAGGGTTGCTAATGTACAGATTAGCTCTCAAGAGGTTAATGTTGTCCCCATCACCTGTGGGCAGTAGAGTGTGATGTATTCTCCCTGCAGTCAGAGGTCAGGGGTGGTAGGTTATTCCATGAGATCAAGGCTAGAGCCAGCCACGGCTCTCTGAAGGAGTGGCATGGTCTGGGTTTATCTCTTAGGATTCAGACTTAAGCTGTGCAAAAGGAATACTGTATGGGATTGTGTTCAGTGCAGTTTGGGATTATGACTATGCAGAGGTGGAATGAAGAAGCTTCTCTGATGAGGCTGCCAACAAAATAGTGAGCCTCTGAGGTCATGTTTGCTGGAGGAGACAGCCCTCCATACATCTTACCCTTGGAGTTCATGAGGCAGAGGCATGGGCACTGGGTGAGCAGGCAGAGTGGGCAGAGATATCCTTGCTTCTAGTGATGTTTGATCTACACTTGGGTTCCCAGGGGGGCTACCCCTGGCCCCAGCACAGGGTTCCCTGCAACTCCAGGCTTTCCCAGTCTTTTGTATTTCTCGTCGTATTTTGCCAGAGTAGTTCTTTTTCTTCACTATTTCCTCCCCATCCTATTTGTGCAAACCACAGTTATCCCATTCCACAGCCTAATTGTGTCTTACTTGTGGGTATATGCACAGGCACACCCCAAGTAGCCTCCCCTAGGTCCCAGGTCCCCCTGTTACAGAGGGGAGTGTGGGAGTCCAGGCTGGCCCAAGACCCCAACGGCATCTTTGAGTCCCCTGATTCACAGACACTCAACCCAGTCCTGCTGTTCCTGGGACCTTGAGTTGCAGTGTTGCAGTTTGAAGGGCTGTAAGGCTGGCTGCATTGAGGAGCCATGTGATTGCCTTGCCATATTTGCCTTTAGCTAGTCTGCCCATCATTTCTTTCTTCCCACACCAGAGTTTAATGTATGAGGTCAGGGACCTGTATACAGTAGGCATTCGCTTTCTGGCCACGCACTGGGCCAATAAGTGAATAAGCAGGGAACAGAGTAGACCCTCTTGTCATCAGTGATCTGAGGACTGGTGCTCTGGATGGAGCTTTTTTTCCTAGGAAGTAGGGGGTGTTAGGCAGAGGAAGATGGTGGCAGCATGTGAGGTAGAATGTTCACTCACCTGGCCGGGTGCAGTGGCTCACGCCTGTAATCCCAGTACTTTGGGAGGCCAAGGTGGATGGATCACGAGGTCAGGAGATTGAGACTATCCTGGCTAACACGGTGAAATCCCGTCTCTGCTAAAAATACAAAAAATTAGCCGGGTGTGGTGGCGGGCGCCTGTGGTCCCAGCTACTCAGGAGGCTGAGGCAGGAGAATGGCGTGAACCCAGAAAGCAGAGCTTGCAGTGAGCCGAGATCATGCCACTGCACTCCAACTTGGGCGACAGGGTACCCTGGTACCCAAGGTACCCTGCCCCACCACGCCCACACCACATTAAACACTCCAGCTATATTCCTCTGAGGTGAAATCATTTTCATAAGGATGTGTGAGTTCAGGTATCACAAGAAGAGAATCAAAATCAAGGTGGAGGCCGGGCATGATGGTTCATGCCTGTAATCCCAGCACTTTGGGAGGCCGAAGCAGGCGAATTACCTGAAGTCAGGAGTTTGCAACCAGCCTGACCAACATGGTGAAACCCCATCTCAACTAAAAATACAAAAAATTAGCTGGGCATAGTGTCGGACACCTGTAATCCCAGCTAATTGGGAGGCTGAGGCAGGAGAATGTCTTGAACCTGGGAGGTGGAGGTTGCAGTGAGCTGAGATCGTACCATTGCACTCCAGCCTGGGCAACAAGAGTGAAACTCCGTCTCAAAAAAGAAAAGAAAAAGGATGCTCGGGATGAGAAGAGGCTCTCCTGCCCCGCAGGACTGGGACTGGAGTTCAGGGACATTTCCTGCACATTATGCATCTGTTGAGCTCCTCTGGTCCTTCCCTATTGGGCCCAGGGTCATTTCTTCCTCTCCTTCTCCAGGAATATTTGCATTTAAGTGTTCCCGGGCTGAGGAAATCTTCAACCTCCTTCAGGATCTGATGCAGTGCAACAGCATCAATGTGATGGAAGAACCTGTCATCATCACCCGCAATAGCCACCCCGCTGAGCTTGACCTCCCTCGAGCCCCCCAACCACCCAATGGTGAGGAGCCCCCAGTGTATACACACGCACAGGCCCAGGAAGCACAAATCTTGGAGGGATGAGTCAAGCTGGCAGGTTAGGGGAAGGCTGGGTGAGCCAGCCTTCCAGGACAGTTGTCCATGATCAGAACCGTTCTTGAGGATCGATAAATCCTGGGCTGGGCTAGGTGACTCAGGCTGAGGCTGTTGAGTCCTGGGCCTTGTATTGACGGATGATTGGGGAGCAGACAGGAAGACTTTGGGTTTCCGTAGAAACGGCAGTCTGGAGTTTTTTTGCTTTCTTCCTCTGTCTATTGGGTCATCCCCATATACTTTCCTTGCTGCTGGTGCAGGCATCTCTGGCCATGACTGTATTCTGGAGAGGGTCCTACAATTTCTGCTTATTCAGTCATTGAATTCAGACCAGGCACCTGCTTGGTGTTCTGCGCTCCCTGGACTGGCCCATGGGGGACAGGAGAAATAGAAGCACAGTCCTTTTTTTGAGGAACTTCCCTGGACCTTACTGGCAGACCTAGAATGAAGCAAAGGGATGATCCAGTGACAACAAGATGTGCTTTATGCATTTTGGGTGAGGCTATAATGGAGACAGTGGTGAGGTGCTTCAAGCTGAGCTTGAGGGAAAGGGCAGGGTTTGAATAGCAGAGGAAAGATGAAGGATAATGGGGGCTGGTGGCTCAGTGGGGTTTAACCACTGTGAGGCCCTGAGAACATCTCTCCTCCATTGGAGGAGTCCCAGAATGCCGCACACACAGCTGCAAGTGGTTGTCAGGTGGCTTAAGTTCCCCTCCCCTGGACTTGTCTCCCCTGTGTCCAGCTCTAGGCTACACTGTCTCCAGCTTTTCCAATGGCTGCCCTGGAGAGGGCCCACGATTCTCAGCTCCCCGGCGGCTCTCAACGAGCAGCCTACGGCACCCCTCGCTTGGGGAAGAGTCCACCCATGCCCTCATTGCTCCTGATGAGCAGGTGAGCAAGCAGCCGGCCAGCCCCTACCCTGTTGGTCTGGGTGGGGATGAGGGATAGGAAATAAGGCCACCTCCTCCCAGTAAGGATCACGGGAAGGGGAAGAACATTGTTAGGGTCTCTTCCTGTCCCTAAAAGGGAGTAGCTTCCTTGGAAGAGTTGGAGGACAAGGAAGAAGAAACTCCAGCTCTTTTTCTGTGTGCTTTTCTTCTCTCATCCTGTCCCTTCTGTTCTCTTTTCTCCCTGCCCTGGGACACTCCTGCCTCACTTGGACTCTCTGTCCCCAGTCCCACACCTATGTCAACACACCGGCCAGTGAAGATGACCACCGCAGGGGCCGCCACTGCCTGCAGCCCCTGCCTGAGGGTCAGGCGCCCTTCCTCCCGCAGGCCCGGGGTCCTGACCAACGGGACCCACAGGTGTTCTTGCAGCCAGGCCAGGTGAAGTTTGTGTTGGGCCCGACCCCTGCTCGGCGGCACATGGTGAAGTGCCAGGGCCTCTGTCCCAGCCTGCATGACCCCCCACACCACAATAATAACAATGAGGCCCCTTCCGAGTGCCCAGCCCAGCCCAAGTGCACCTACGAGAACGTCAGCGGGGGGCTGCGGCGAGGGGCCGGCTGGAGACTGAGCCCAGAGGAGCCGGGCTGGAATGGCCTTGCCCACCGCCGGGCCGCCCTGCTGCACTATGAGAACCTGCCCCCGCTGCCCCCTGTGTGGGAGAGCCAAGCCCAGCAGCTGGGAGGGGAGGCTGGGGATGATGGGGACTCAAGGGATGGGCTCACACCCTCTTCCAATGGTTTCCCTGATGGTGAGGAGGACGAGACCCCACTGCAGAAGCCCACCAGCACCCGGGCCACTATCCGCAGCCATGGCAGCTTTCCTGTGCCACTTACCCGCCGCCGCGGCTCCCCAAGGGTCTTCAACTTTGATTTCCGCCGGCCAGGGCCCGAGCCCCCAAGGCAACTTAACTACATCCAGGTGGAGCTAAAGGGCTGGGGTGGAGACCGCCCTAAGGGGCCCCAGAACCCCTCGAGCCCCCAAGCCCCCATGCCCACCACCCACCCTGCCCGAAGCTCAGACTCCTACGCCGTGATTGACCTCAAAAAGACAGTGGCCATGTCCAACCTGCAAAGAGCTCTGCCCCGAGACGATGGCACCGCCAGGAAAACCCGGCACAACAGCACCGACCTGCCTCTGTAGGGACGTCCCGGTCCTCACCACCCTCTGCCCCACCGTGATCCAGCCTCTGCCTCACACTCCTGTCCTCTGAACCTACCCTCCCCAGGGTTCAGGGTTGCTTTGCAGAAGGCATGGAGGTGGGACCAGATGCTTCCCTGTGCTGGCTGGAGTCCCCAGAGATATCAGCCGCCGAGTCTCCTGGTCTGTCTCCAGGCTGGGGAGAGAAGGGTGACCAGGCGAGGAGGGAGCCGAGACATCAACTGTGAAGGGTTCCTGTGATTGCGTTTAGCGCCCTCCCGTTCTGTCCATGTGTCTTGTCTGCTGACTGTCCGTGTGTGTTTTTTTTGGTTGGAATTTTGAAACATTTTGTACCTGTTGATTTTATTTATCAGTTTATTTTTCTATTTATTGTTTTAAATGTAATTTAACATATTTATTATTAATATAATTATTTTTAAATTCTGGCCCAGTGGATATCATCTTCTTAGGGAATCTTTTCTGGTGTGGTACTGAGTTGGACACAGGGCAGGCGTAATCAAGGTAAGGGTTTCACTCTGGGGAATCTGGGGCAGTTATGGCTTTTGTGACAAGTCTGTGATTTTTTTTTTTTTTTTTTTGAGACGGAGTTTCGCTTTTGTGGCCCAGGCTGGAGTGCAATGGCGTGATTTCAGTTCACTGTAACCTCCGCCTCCCGGGTTCAAGCAGTTCTCCTGCCTCAGCCTCCCAAGTAGCTGGGATTACAGGTGTCTGCCACCACGCCCAGCTGATTTTTGTATTTTTAGTAGAGATGGGGTTTCTCCATGTTGGCCAGCCTGGTCTCGATCTCCTGACCTCAGGTGATCCACCCACCTCGGCCTCCCACAGTGTTGGGATTATAGGCATGAGCCACCACACCCGGCCAGTCATTTATTGTTCTCCTCCAAGAAGCCCTGGCCATGAACTTAAAGTTGCCGGGGACGGATGCTCTGTTGAAGGAAAGCGATGGGATGGCTGGAGTCCTAGAAGCCAAAAGAGGGGCCTGTGAGGACTGCCCTAATGAGGTAGAGCCCCAGCCGTCTGAGGCTGACAACAGGTGGGGAGTGCAGTGGAGTGGACACAGCTACAGAAGAGATACCTTCACCTTCTTGGGGAGCCTTCACTGACGCCCTTGCAAGTAGGCAGGCCCCAAAGGGCACTGCTGTCCTTTACCACCTTGGCCCAGAGATGGACCCTGGATCCTCCTTAGCTGCCCCCAGCATGGCTGAGTCAAGACTAGACCTTTAAACAGGACTTCACTAAAATCCCAGGATTATCGCAAAATGAAAAAACATGGTGTAATGTGTAACTAGATAATCTGGCTTGCTAAGTGTCTTTCCTAGAGAATGTCTCTTCAGGAATGGACTGTTAGGATGCCTCTACCCTGCCACAAGGCTGGGCGCTAACAGAGCCGCCACGTTGGAGCACCTGCCTAGAAGCGCAGGGTCCAACGGGGATGTGCTGCACACACACCCTAGTGCTGATTCATTCCAGGAGCTCCTTTCTCTATCCTGAGGCTGCCTCTCTCCTCTTCCTTCTCTTGCTGGCTTCCTTTCCTCCAAAACTCCATTTCTATCTGAAACCCCAGTGCGGTTCATCTAAAGGAAATCCTGCTTTTGTGATAAGCCACTCAGGGTCCAGGTGAAGAATGAGAGCTGTGTTTGTCCAACTTGGGGAAAAGCCTTGTCACTGTTTGTGCCCCCAGCTCCTTGTCCTGTGGAGCAAGCAGACCTGTCCTCTTCCTCACCAAGGAAACAAGCCCAGGCAAGACACCCCGTCCAGTTCCCTCCCCCTCCTACTGTCCAGGACACTGCTGCCTGGGCCTCATTTCCTGGAGCTCACCTCCACTGAGTGGGGGTTGGACTGGCAATCTTCCAGACCCCCCGACCTCAGGTGTCACTTTCTGTCAGTGAAATGGGCAGTGACAACTGGCCACAACAGGATGTGAAAAGGCCCTTCAAGTGGGGCCCAGCAGAGCTCAAGAGGGCAGCTGCCACAACCCCAGAGCTGGCACCAAACCCTTCTCCCCCTTATATCCTTTTGATCTCTGGACCAGAGGGGTCACCTGCTGCAGGTTGGATTCATTGCAGTTTTCCACGCTGCAGTAGGGAGATGCCGTCTTCTCTCTGCAGCTTATCCAAGCAGTTCGATTCTGTTTGGATGTCCTCATACGCTTGCCCCTGCTACTACTCGTGACCTCCACAGTCGGGGTGGTGGGTGTCTCCCAACAGGAGGGTGGATGTGGGGGAGCAGGTATGGCTATGCCAGGACCAGAGTTAGGGGTCCTGGCCGTGCTTGGGACTCATGCGTCAGTGCAGGTTCCGCCTTATCAATGGATAGATACTATGATGCGGTAGCCAGAGGCTGGCTTAAGAGACCCAGGGTCCTGACTTGGTCATTATCTCTGCTACCTTAAGCATTCGGTTACCCAAATGGGCTCAGTGTTTGCACCTGGAAGACGTGGAGCTGGTATGAGAAGTAACCAATGAAACGATGAACATGGCACCACGTTGGAAGTAGACAAGACTCCTGCAAGTTGTGTTAACAACCCAGCTGTTCCCTTAGAAGTCACAACTCTTAAGTCCCTCAGGCTGTCGCTTTGCTGAACAAATCAAGAAGGGGCAGTTATTCTCATTCTCTGGGTCCCCAGATCCTGGCCTGACCCCTGGGGTCTCCCTAGAGCAAGTCATAATTGCTTCGATGAGCATGTTTGTGGGGCTTGGGGGAGTCGACTTGCAGCTCAGTGTGGCCCCCAACCTTTCCTTTCCCCTCCCCTGGTCACTGCTTCTGGCCCATGGGGTCTACTACAGGAATTTTCCTCTCGAGGGAAGGACAGGGTGTGAGTGGACAGCTTTCCTGGCGGGAAGGGGTGGGTGGGAGCGATGCACAGGAGGGTAACTGCCGCCCCTGTGTTTGAGCCCGCGCTGCCGACAGGGTGTGGTGCACAGATAGAATCAGTTTCCATCACCATCATCATCCAAAGATCATCACCAACATCAGTACGTGTTTGCCGAGTGCTGGGTTCTCTTCTTTAGAAACAGGCCCTACCCACCCCTGGGCTGCCCTCAGGAAAGGACAGGATCCAGCATCCTGTCTGGGAGTGACATTTCAGGTCAGACCAGGAGGGGCCCTCCCCAAGGTCCCCCCGGGTAATAATAGCACTTTACAAGGGTATAAACACAGTCAGCTTTCCACAGGGCCTTGTTATTTATCTTTATCAGGACTCACTGGCGGGATGTTATCATCACTGTACAGAGGAGGAAACAGGCCAAGAGGTGACGTAACTTGCCTCGGGCCATGAAGTTAATTGGTGGCTTGGGCTAGGGCTGGATGCCGGTCGTGTGTCTCCTCCACCCCCCCGCTCCCTGCCTGGCCTGAAAGAGCCTCGTTCCCTCAGGTGGGCTGCAGGGAGACTGTGTTGGGTGCTTCTCCCTGGGTTGAGTCCCAGCAGGGGATCACATTCCAGTGCTCCCACTTAGGAATCCTGAAATCCAAGGCAGGGCCTTCTCAGTTAACTACAGGGTGACCCTGCTCTCCCCTGGGGCCTGCCCTACGCCCACCTACCAACTCTGCCCCTCTACTCTCATTTCCTCAGAAATGGCTCCTGGTTGTATCGATGGGAGAGGCCAGGGCAGGTGTGCAAGAAGCAGCTTGACTTCACTCGCCCCTGCCTGCCTCTCCGGAGAGCAAATCAGCCTCAGGGGAGGCCCTCAGAGCTTAGGCTCCCTGAGTTCTGGGGCGCTCTCTGACCAATATCTTCAAGGGGCATCCTACTCACAGGTGGGGAGCTTGTAACGAGGCACCCTTGGGCCTTCAGAAAGGTATAGGGAGGGCTGAGGGAAGGGTGGGGAGGGCTTCAGGGCTCTGTATAGTTCACAGGGTCCAAGATAGAATCTCAGAGCTTGTAGGGCAGCTAAACTAGGACCCATCCAGGGATTTCTGCAACAGGATTCCTGAAGATGTTTATCTAGTGTTTGCTCACACATTTCCAGGACGGGGAGCTCACTACCTAACAAACCCTCCCTCGACTCAAGTCTTATGAAGTCCCTACAATTCTTCCCATTGGGTCCTAATTCTGCTCCTGGATCAGAGCATGGCTAAGTCTAGTCTCTCTGCCAAGGGTGCTGAACTTTGAAAGTTGGCGTCACTACTTACTAACAACTTGACTCATGCCCCAGTTTCCTCATCTGTCACACAGGGATAATAACAGTTGTTGTGAGGGTCAAACAAGAGAATGTCTACCCAGCATGAACCATGGCGACTGCCCATAGTAGGTGCTCAGTAAGTGGCAGATGTTATTTTTACCTGAACATGTTTTCTTGCTTGCTTGCTTGCTTGCTTTCTTGCTTTCTCTCTCTCTCTCTTCTCTCTGTCTCCCCTCTCTCTCTTTCTTTCTTTTTCTTTCTCTCTCTCTCTCTCCTCTCTCTCTCTCCTCTCTCTCTTTCTTCTTTCTCTTTCTCTCTCTCTCTCTCTTTCTTTCTTTCTTTCTTTCCTTTCTTTCCTTTCTTTCCTTTCTTTCCTTTCTTTCCTTTCTTTCCTTTCTTTCTTTCTCTTTTTTTGAGATGGAGTCTCACTCTGTAGCCCAGGCTGGAGGGCAGTGGTGTGATCGTGGCTCACTGCAACCTCCGCCTCCCAGGTTCAAGCGATTCTCCTGCCTCAGCCTCCCGAGTAGCTGGGATTACAGGTGCCCGCCACCACACTCAGCTAATTTTTGTATTTTTAGTAGAGACGAGGTTTCACCATGTTGGCCAGACTGGTCTCAAACTCCTGACCTCAAGTGATCTGCTGTCCTTGGCCTCCCAAAGTGCTGGGATTACAGGCATGAGCCACCACACCCGGCCCTGAACATGGTTCTTTCCAGCATGGCTAGGTGTCTACCGCTTTGTGTTCTAGTTTGACCCAGAACTGAGTACCCAACTTAGCATAAGTATAATGTCCAAGTTAGCACTTTACTGGCCCTGTTGGCTTTTGGGCCCTTAAAGCTGATCCTGACCTGAAATCACCAGGTCTCCACTTAAACAACTACAGCATTCCTCACCCCTGACCCCTTCTATGTTGGAGTCCTTGGCTCGTTAACTGTCCATTCATTCAGGTGACATTTCTTCTTGATGACTGGAGTCTGTTCCGGAATTTAGAGGCACTAAATTGTCGCTAAGACAAGTGAAGACTAGAGAGGGGTGGCTGGGGGTGTCTGAGAGAAGTGTCTAGGAGGAGGGTCTCCGCTGAGGGTGGATCGTGAGGCTGGAGTACCTGGAGCTCTCAGCCAAGTGCTTTTGGGAACTTGGTTCTGTGAGCCCCCTGACAAGAAGGTCTTCTCGCCACTTGTTCTTTTTCTTTCTTTCTTTCTTTCTTTGAGACAGAGTCTCACTCTGTCATCCAGGCTGGAGTGCAATGGCATGATATCGGCTCACTGCAACCTCCACCTCCCAGGTTCAAGCGATTCTCCTGC